ATATCTTGCCTACTTTAAATTTTCTTGGTTATATCTTTGCTTGATTGTAACTTGAATTCGACAAATGTCATGGACTTAATTCGATTGGAAGTTTGAGGAATAAATTGAAATTGAAGATGACAACTTATGATTTTGATATGTTAATTGAAGAATACTTGAGGACAAGCATTGAATAAGTGAGGGGGAATTTGATAAGTACTTAATTTAGTTAATATTTCACTTTTAAATTACTCTTTAATCACTGATTTTTGTGGCTTATTTGTTCATTTTAATTCATTTTCTGTATAGGACGTAAGATTATGGAAATTGCACAAAAAAGACACAATTCTGCAGATTTTTTATTTTCGGAATCAAAGCTGGCTGGAATTCGGATTTGGATTAAACTCATATTTAGGATAATATTTTAAACATTATATTTTATCTTTGTATTTTAGTTTAAATAGGTTTTTAGTATTTTAATTAAGTTTTAGGATATTATTTTTATATTTTATCTTTATCTTTGTATTTTAATTTAAATAGGTTTTGGTATTTTAATTAGGATTTAGAGTATTATATTTTTTTTTAGGTATTTTAGTTTAAATAGTTTTAAGTGTTTTAATTAGGATTTGAGATGTTTTAGCTTGTTTTTAGGATTTTGAAGGCTATAAATACCCTCTAAGGGTGAGCCTAGAAACATATCTCTCTCATTTGAGAATAAAATATTCTTTTTCTCTCTAGCTTTCTCTCTATTTTTCGCATACTTTTCTATTGTGCTAAGTATGACTTTGGTTATGCTTAGCTAATTTTCTTTCAAGCCGAAGAGTAAAGCGAAGGCTCAATTCCAAACGTGAGAATTGTAAGGTACTTAAATCTCTTCGGATTTTTTCTCTGTTTTTTGAAGCTTACTTTTCAAATCAAAACTATTTCGATATTGGTCCGGATATTGTTATGGTTAATGTTTGAAGAATGATTTGCTTATTGAAGCATATTCAACTTCCCGATAACACACTTAGCAAAATTGTTTGCTAAGAGGAAACTGAGATCGGAATCAGTTGTTGTTGAAACGACACAATCCGAGTTGGCAGCGAGAAATGTTCTTGTAAGCTTACATGAATCTTGAAGTAAAAAATTATTTCGATGATCCGAGGAATTTGAGGCGAAGCTGAAGTCTGAGGCTGCTTTCACAATAAGTTTCTCTTTATCTTAATCTCTTTAATTTGTTTATTTAATTATTTTTTTATTTTATTTAATTCTTATTTTTTATTTTAACCATAACTTTTAAAAAAATCCCCCTTTTATATTTATTACTATTAATATTTATTATTATATTATTTTTCTTTATTTATTTATTTTATTTTAATATATCTTTTCAACTTCATATGAAATTCTATCTTTTTCTAAAATCAAGAAAGAGTTTTATTAAATCAGAAACACCACAGTCCTTGTGGATCGACCCTGCTTCTCTATACTACATTTTCATTTTTATTTATTAAGAAGCCATAAATTATTTTGATAGCAAAACGACGATTATCAACCCTCAACTATCAGGAAAATTCTAAGTCAACGTAAATCTTCGTTATATTTCAATTATAGTATATTAAAAATATTTTTATTTTTATTTTTCATTAAAATGATTTAAAATATATATAAAATACATTCACATATTAATCAGTTATAATATTTGTGTACATATGTCATATTATCGTATTATTCATTTATTCCATATTGGAGTCCTTATTATGTCATTTTTCCTTTTTTTATTGCCATTAACTATATATATTATATTGTGATAAGTTTGTCATTTGAATGATGTAGCCTAGTGGTTGGGGTGTATGCTTTCTCTCCTCAAATCTTGGGTTTAAACCCCATTAGTAGCGGTTATTAATTCAATTTATTTTTTATTCATTCAATTGGTGACACTATTTGATTGGATGGAAAATCTATTAAATTAAACAAACATATTTAGAAAAAATCCAATCACATAGTGACATATGTCACAATCTGATTGAGGATTAAATTTATTGAATTAATTAAAAGTTAGGACCAAATTAATAGAATGTGTAAGTAATGAAGACTAAATGTGTAATTATATAAATTTTATTAATTGTCACGTCATCTCACTCGTTAATATTTAACGGTAGGTGGCTTGATTGACAATATTTAAATAGTTAGGTGATCTGATTGACAAAATTGAAAAATCGGTGGTTAAAATGAAAGGGGTAAATAGTTAGGTGTTCAACAATATAATTTACCCTAAAAACTAATTTTTTATAAATATTATATTTTAAATAAATTACATTTAGATTTTTAACTAATTTATAATTATACGTTTAATACTTCATAATTTAACATTTTATAAATTAATTTAATTGTGCTCATAGTTAACGGTGCTCATCCACACTCGACGAGCATTGTAGAATTTTTCTATTAAAAAAATATAAAAATTGTCTATTTTACTCATTTACTTTTTTAATAGTTTATATTCTTTTAATATTTTAAATTCTTAATCATTAACAATATATACATTTTGTAAAAAATAACTATTCGAATTCGAATATTTTAGGAAGAATAACATTTCTTTTTTACAACTAAGACTTATAATATTATGTAATTGAGGGACTTAAGCATTTCTTAGAGGATCTGAGTTTAAGTAGCTACTTCTATGGAATATGTGTGCGTTTTAAATATATTAAGAAATTTTTTGAATAAATACTATTTTGTTATTGTGTTATATTAAGAAATTACCGTCCAGCTCAGTTGGTAGAGCGCAAGGTTATTAACCTTGATGTCGTGAGATCAAGTCCCACCGAGGGCATTTCATAATTCGGATGTCTCCCACGGAAGCTGCTCTTAACCTGGCGTTGGAGGCAGCCTACTATCTTACCTCTCCTTACCCCATTACATATGAGAATAAGGGTCAGCTAATTTTTTTGTGATTGCGTTTATATTATTAAAAAAATAATGAAAATCTAAATCAAATAGGAAGTATTTAAAATTTTATTTTTAGTTTTAAATTAATTATTATTTATATTTAATATATTAGTACCATATAATAAAATGGGAATATGTGTCGTACAATAATATTGTTTTTTCTAATGAGGTGTGATTTTTCACTCACCACAAAGATCGAAGCCTTTGGGGTTCAAGTTCTCTTATCCAAATATAAAATGGACTTAGTCTCTTAGAATATGAAGGATAGGAACGTGTTAAGACTGTATAAAAAGTATTGACAATGTGTGGGGAGAGGTGAAAAGTGGAATTGTTGGACAAATTGGGAAGTGTAACACGGTGGAGATTATGGTTACCAGATGATATAACATCTTTTAAGAAAATGATTGAACGTCACAATATTTTTATATACATAAAAATTAAAAGATATATCATACGATCGTCTTTCTAAAATGTATTATAACGTCTGATTATTTTTTCCGATCAATGTAGAAATATTTCTAACTGAGAAAATAATAAACCATTATAATACGCTTAAAATAATTCAATGCTATTAATTAACTCGCACGATGAGTGCAAAAAAAAAAAATTCTATTTTCAGCTAATGCTTCCGGATGCTATACCAGTACGCACATTCCTCTCACCACTCGCACCCACTTTTACGCACTCTTTATGGGGTTTAAGCCATCATTTTCGAATGCTTACAATTTCAAATCCACACATTTTGTAAATTATACATAGTTGTATCCTTATACACTAAAAATACACTCATCAAGATGAGGAATTGTAAAAAGAAGAAAGGAGATGAAGAAATAGTACATAGGTCCGGGTTGAATATGAGACCTGACTTTTTTGAAAAAAATAATATCTGATAATTTTTTATTGAATCGATATATTAATAAATTAAATATTTTTAAACATCTAAAAATCTTAATACATCGTGTTATTTATTGAATTATTTTTTAATAAAATGTAATTGAATTAAAAATTTAGATTTAATAATTTCATCCCTAACTTATAAAAAATATTAAATAACAGTTGTTACATCATCATTGTGACTAAACTTTTGAAAGTAACAATTTGATTATAGTATTGTTAATTTTATATAATATAGATTTTATTTAACTTAATTATTAATATTTAATTTATTTATATATTAATTCAGATTTACAAAATTTCAATGTAAAATAATTTTAATGCAACTTATTCTATTTATAAAATATAATACGATACTAAGATTTTATCTACTAATTATTATGTAAAATTAAGTTTCCTTATTTAACATGCGATCTTCGTATTTTAAAAGCTATTATAAAAATCTAATTTTCTTTCATTAGTTTGTCGTTCATTCCCATTCTTTTTTGTCTTTGTTAATCAAAGATAACATCAATTTTAATATTAATTATCAATTGTATGTGTTTTTATTGTTCTTTACTTTTCTTATATCATATTTTTATTTATTTTTTTATTTTCAACAAGTATGTTGTATGTCTTTTTTCCTCTACTTTTACAACATATTTTTTATGTCTTTTGACATGATTTTCGGTTATTTGTCCTTTTTTTAGTTATCTCTTTTCTAAGAATTAATTGACATTACTATGATTGATCAAGACGATGTTTATATGATATTTTGTTGTTCTTTCCTCTCTTTGACTCTTAGATTGAATTTAGATACATAATATGCGTTCGTTGATAGCTTTTCACATCGCTCGAGTCTGATTTATTGTTTTTTGGTGATCTTTTAATAGTTTAATCCCCTTTTGTGATTTGTTTGCTGATGAGATAAGATTTATTTGTATCTATCTTTGTCTGAGTTTCTTAGTTAGGTTTTTAATTTTTCATTGTATGATTCTTATATGATCTAAAATTGTTAATTTTATTATACAAAATTATTTTAATTATATGTTTAATTTATAATTATTATTATAAATTTTTATTGTTATTCGAAATACTTTTATTTTGAATAAATCTAGTAGTTTATATTAAAAAATTACTTTGTGAAATTATTTGAGTACTACTTCAAATACTCAGATTATCGGATCAGCACAAATTATTTGAATACTGTTCTGATTTCTCCGCCTCGTTGTTACAAACATTTACATTGATACACCAACCAGTCAAGACCCCCCGCCAAAAGAAAAAGCGATTAAACAAAGGAAAAGAACCCAAGAGAAGCTAACCAAATCAAAACTGCAGCAAAACGACTGGTAGGCAGCAGCAAAACAATTCTTTTTTTCGTAAAAGTCTTTCCCAAAATTCGAAAACCCTAGACTCCTTTGTTTCATTTATTTTGGTACGGTAGACCATCATGTCGTCCGGTTCGAGTTCATCTTCCTCTGTCTCTGATGGTTTCGCTGACCCTAATTCTGATCCCAAACTCGTCGATGAACAGTTCGATTTGTTGACATTGAATGAACCGGCCCAATTAGAACGTAATCATCGTGAAAACGGCAATAAAATCGCCGATGGATCGTTGAATCCGGAGAGAAATAGCATCGTCGCTGAAGATGACGGTCGATTACGAGTGGAGGATCAGGAGATTTTTGGAGAAGAAGAGCTACCGAGTCCCAGCAGTAGTGGATATGCTGCTGGGAGAGGGAGTAGCAGCGCCACAAGCCCTTCGAGGATGGGTGAAGTGAGTGAAATCGATGATCATGAGATTCAGGAACTGAAGAACGATGGTTCCCTTGGAGGAAACTCCGGTTCTCACGCCTCATCCTGGGTTCCCGGTAAACGGCGCGTGGATGAGGTTAGCCAGTTCATTTATTTATTCATTGTTAATATAGAAAAAATATTTTGGTTTCGCTTGTTATTATCCCAAATAATTCATCCTGTTGTATATGTAAATAAACAGAATTTTAGAATTGGGAATGTGTGTGAAGTTTGCGATTATTCAGTAATAATCTCACTATTTGAATGTTAACACCACTTGCCTTCTATGGGCATCACTTATTTGAAAAGGGAAAAAGTTATTTTAAAGAATCCTTGGGAAATGGTGTCATGTTTGATTTATAAGTTAAGTACAGGATGATGCTTCAATTTCTTGGAGAAAGAGGAAGAAGCACTTCTTTATTTTGAGTAATTCAGGCAAACCAATATATTCCAGGTTAGTCACTAGTTCCTAAAAATGCCAGCGTTAGAAGGTGCATAATCTGTGGAGTTTAATATGAAGTTATGAACTAATTCCAAAAAAGCCGTAGTTTAATATCTTTTGTATATTTGACTTCCAGATATGGAGATGAGCACAAGCTAGCTGGTTTTTCAGCAACACTACAAGCCATTATTTCCTTCGTGGAGAATGGGTACTTGGAGTTGATTGCAACTAGTTTAGTTTTTAGTAGTGATTCTGGCTTTATCAAGTGCAGTTATTTGGGATACTTTCTCCTTTTTTTTAGTCTTTGAAGGAATTTTAATATTTCATTCATTGCTTTTTAGGGGAGATCGTGTCAAATTAGTCAAGGCTGGGAAACACCAGGTATTGATATATTTGCTATTTCTCCATATGAAGTTTATCTATTTTTCTTAGATTTTTTTTTCATTTGAACTAGTGCTTAGCTTTTAAGTAGTTCTTTGATTTTTCTTCCACATACTAAATACTCTAGAAAGAAACATTGATAAGCTGCAATAAAAAATATGTTTGAAACTTAAGCTAATTATTTTAGTTTAATTAGATGTGGTGGAATCTCAGTCTTCAAAATTACTATTGTTATATTCTGACAGGCATGTTACTGGCAAGTAATTATTTTTTGAAATAAAAGTGAATGATGTGATAATAGAATGTTTGATACTAGTTTAAAATAGGCATGCTCACATGGAAATTTTGCGGTTGACCTCATCAATCAAGCTCAACTTCTCAATTCTCATAAACCACCACTGTTTCTTTTTTACTTTAACTCTTATAGAACCATCTTACGTTTTTTGATCAATTGAATATGATATGCAATGACATATTGGTTTGTTTAGGTGGTCTTTCTTGCGAAGGGACCGATCTATTTAGTTTGCATCAGCTGCACAGAAGAGCCCTTTGAATCATTAAAAGGACAGTTGGAGCTTATTTACGGTCAGGTATCTCATCTCCCTTGCAAATCCCTACTTCTGGACAGATGAATTTGATTGCCAGTGCCTTTTCAAGGACAGTTAGAGCTTATTTGGTCACTTTTTACATTTTTTGCTTATGAAGTCACCCAAAAGTACTACTCTTACTGACACTTTTGCTTGGTTATGAAATGGTTGCAGCTGATACTAATTTTAACAAAGTCAATAAATAGGTGCTTTGAGAAGAACCCTAAGTTTGATATGACACCTTTGCTTGGAGGAACCGATGTTGTCTTTTCTTCCCTCATTCACTTGTTCAGTTGGTGCGTTTTATTGGGTTTTTCTTGCATGCTCAATAATGTTGATTCTGTCCTCATGTCATCTTGCCCTTGTATTTCCCTTCCCTTGTCCACTCTATCAGTCGTGGGAGTTTTCTTGCATATCTAATGATCTGAATTACTTGAGTTTTTACATATTTCAAGTCAATTGTGAGTTTTTTGGTTTTGGTTGTTCATCAGTTTGTCACATTTATCCATGGTTGAAAATATTGGTTCTACATTCAGAACAAGGATAATATGTGTTTGTGTGTGTGTGTTTTACATTTTTGTAACTTTTATTGGTGAGACGTGAACTACAATAGAATATTCCTCCTCTTTCATATTCTATCTGAAGGGTACCTCCTAAACATTTTTTCCTTCTTTCAGGAACCCAGCTACATTTCTTCATGCATACACTTGTCTTCCACTTGCTTATGCAACAAGGCAAGCTGCAGGTGCTATATTGCAAGATGTTGCTGATTCTGGGGTTCTATTTGCAATACTAATGTGTAAACACAAGGTAAAACTCCCTTATCCTCTTTTTACTCCGTTTTCTCTGAAAGTACAAAAAAATTGTTTTTCTTATTGTTACTCTTTGGTTTTACTCCATTAGATAATATTTTTACTTTTCAAAGTATTTTAATAACCTGAAGGTCAATGTCAGGTTATCAGTCTTGTTGGTGCACAAAAGGCCTCCCTTCATCCTGACGATATGTTGCTACTTTCAAACTTTGTGTTATCATCGGAGTCATTTAGGTAAGTAGAATCAATGTTAGTAGGTTTTTAATCCCCATATAATTGGTCAACTCTAGAGCATTGGAATCCATATGCTTTGAAGCACATGGGACATCATTGCTCTGTTACAATACCTTCCCTTAGATAGTCTTCCTTACTAGGGTATTGGAAGCAGTAATGGCATTGACTCGGATGGTCAGTTGGTTTATGCAGATTTCTAGTTAAATAATGTTTGGGAAATGAACTACCTCATTCCCATTGTATCTTATCTTGGTCTCTCTAACATAGAAATTGAAGTTCCAGTTCAGAAACTTGTTACATCCTATAAGCAATTAACATGTTTACCAGTTCTTTTGTTGTTTCATGGCCATGTTGAAGGTTCTTAATGGTCCAATATTACAATTGACTGGCAGAGATGAATATCTTGATAATTCTGAACTTAATTGAGTGCTAATTCTTTGTGCAGTTCTCTCCGAGTCTCTTCATTTCTTTTATTCTCCTCTTCTCTAATGATGTGGCAGAGTTAGCATTGTATTTATGCTGATGATTTCGTGGGCTTTTTGTTCTTATGAGATCTACATGGTTTATGCAGGACATCAGAATCGTTCTCGCCAATTTGTTTACCAAGATATAATCCTATGGCATTTTTGTATGCTTATGTGCATTTTCTTGATGTGAGTGAAACTTCCTTCAGAATCTATTGACTTTATGCATCTTTTACAACTTACAATGATGTCATATTTTCTTCTCTATGTTGGTCACGCCTACAGCACTGGATAACATATCTTATTTCTTGTGACAGGTCAATACATACTTGATTTTGCTTACTACCAGTTCAGATGCCTTCTATCACCTTAAAGAATGCAGGTAAGCTGTATTTTCCTAATTTTATCATGATATGGTGAACTTCTGGTGTAAAATTTTCCTAATTTCTACATCAGTTGACTGTATATATTCAGGCTGACCCATATCCATCATATAAGTTGGAAATATAGTCATATTAAGTAATACCTATGTCTTGCTGAGGAAGTACATGTTATCTCTGTATGTAGAATATTAGTTTTCATTTTCTTATGTTCTAGATTATTGAGAAGTTTGACTGAAATTTTATAGGATCCGCATAGAAATGATTCTTTTGAAGTCCAACGTTCTTAGTGAAGTTCAAAGGTCAATGGTAGATGGTGGAATGCGTGTAGAGGATTTGCCGGCAGATCCATTGCCTCGTTCCGGACCATCTCCTCATCTAGGAAAGCATAGCCTTACATCAGATTCTCCTGAGAGGCCTAGGGAACCATGTATAGGCATAGGTGGTCCAGCTGGACTTTGGCATTTCATTTATCGTAGTATATACCTGGATCAATATGTGTCCTCTGAGTTCTCACCACCATTTAACAGTCTCCAGCAACAGAAAAGGTAAAAGTCTGAATCTTGTACCAATTTAGTTGAAACTCCTTTCATACTGAGTGCATATCGTAACTTGCTTCATTGTGGTTAGTATGATAACTGGTTCTATCATGCAGATTATATAGAGCTTACCAAAGACTGTATGCTTCCATGCATGATAAAGGAATTGGCCCACATAAAACTCAGTTTAGAAGAGACGCAAACTATGGTAATTCTCTCTTCCTCCAATAACATTAACTATAACTAATTAACTATTGGGAGGTGGTCACTTGTGTTCTATTAAGTTTTCATTTTCATCACTGAAGTTTGAAAAGTTACGTTATGGTCACTAATATCTATTTATCACAAAATGTTCACTCATTTAATATCTAATTTGACCCCTGAAGTAATAGTGGAGTTGTGGAGCTTCGATTTTTCCAAGATTTAGGATCTATTGATGGTTTCATTGTCAATCTTGGAACATTTCAGATAAGGAGTAGAAGGATATTTGGTTCTTGAGAATATGTAAAGAAATGGGTAATAACTATTGGAATATTAATGTTGTTTCGTTTTTTAATTTCGTTTTGAATTTGTTTCAAAATTGATAATTTTTCTGTATCTTGGGTTGTTTGTTAAGCACAGTGAAATGAAATTGATTTAGGTTATTGAAATTTACCAAAACTTTTAGTTATTGAGTGCTTCGAAGATTTTAAAATGTGTTATTGATTTTTTTTGATAGTTTTTCTTTTTAAAGGGTATTTATATTTATGTTTCTTTAATTTTATATATTTTTTAATAATTTTAACATTTTAATACAATTTTTAAAAATATTTTTTTTTTAAATAAATTTAAAATTTTACAAAAAAATATTTTTTTCCATTTGTTAGAATACTGTTTCAAAAAATTGTAAAAGCACTAAATTGATATTTTATCCATAGTTCAATGACTAAAATTAGATATTAACCATTTTGTTAAGCATGCCACATCATCTATTTAACTAAACTAACTAAAACACAAGTGACCTCTAGTGTAGTTAACATTCTTAACTTGTGTTTTAGTAAGTTCCGTTATTGATGATGTGGCATTCTTAACATAAAGTCAATTGTGTTTTAGTAAAACAAAAAATGTAAAATTAAAGAACATTGTTACATTTTTTTTTCATTTCGTTGTTTGAATGCCTTTTTGCATCCGTTATTAAAGAACATTGCTTATGAGTTATGAAAAAAAGTTTTTTGTTTTACAGTCTTAATAGAGTTAATATGATTACATTTTTCTGTCAGTTTTACTCTGCTGGGTCACACAGGATTTTGAATTCTATGCAGCATTTGATCCACTTGCAGACAAGGTTTGTTTGAGCATATACATCTTAGTCATTTATTTGCGTTCAAAGTTCAAATCTTGTCATAATGCACTGAATACTTTTCTGTAAAGGGACTTTGAAGTTTCATTTATGTCATGTGCAGGCTCTAGCCATAAAGACTTGTAACCGGGTTTGTGAATGGGTAAAAGACGTGGAAAATGAGATTTTTTTGCAGGGAGCAAGCCCTTTCTCATGGTGATAAGTCAGCCAGTGTAATACGAAATGTATTCTAGTTTTGGTGGTTTGCACATTCATAGCACCTTTCTGCCCTCCTATGTTCATGATACCCATTGTTAGCTAGCAAATGTATGATTCACCTTTGATGGTTCTTTTTTTTTTCTTTGTTCATCAATACCAGAAAAAACTCGTAAAGAGCTAGGAAGATGCTAAATTATTGATTACTCTGTTTTGTTCGAACTGAGGCGTATTTTGTATTAGTATGGTATGGATGATAAATAAAGGTGACAAAAATAGTTTTCTTTACACACTCATTGTTGTACGATTACTTTGTTATTGTTAAGAAGCTAAGGGTGAAAAAATACCTCAGAAATATTGTATTTCACATAAAAATAATTACAAGAGTTACTTACAAATATATAGCTACAGAGAACTAGAAATAACTACTAACTGATCGTCTAACAAACTGACTGTAATTATATTAACAATACAACCATAACACTCAACACTCCTCAAGTTGGTAGTTGAAAAATGTTTTTAACACCCAACTTGCTCAACAAATAAAGATGCTGTTGTACTCCTAATGCATTGGTCAGAATATCTGCAAGCTGGTCCTTGGTAGAGATATGTTCAGTTCTGACAGATCCATTTTGTATTTGCTCCCGGACAAAATGACAATCTATCTCTATATGTTTGGTCCTCTCATGATAGATTGGATTTTCAACAATTTGAAGTGCAGCCTTGTTACAATAAAACAATTTAACTGGTTTAACTTCCTGCATCCCAAGTTCTTGCAGCAAGCCAATTAACCATACAATCTCAACAGTCACTACTGTCATGCTCCTGTATTCAGCCTCAGCTAAAGATTTTGCTATGGTGTTCTGTTTCTTTGATTTCCAGGATATCAAGGAGTCTCCAAGTTTCACACAATATCCTGTTATTGATCTTCTTGACATTGGACAAGTAGCCCAATCAGAATCACAAAAGACTTAAAGTTCCCATTTATTTGAAGCTTTAAACAACAAACCCTGCCCTGGATCTTTCTTAACATATCGAACTATCCTCAAAGCTGTTTCAAGATGGGACTTTTTTGGCTGATGCATAAATTGGCTGAGGTTTTGCACAGCATATGTGATGTCTGGTCTTGTATGTGTCAAGTAGATAAGCCTTCCAATCAATCTTTGATAGGCTACTTTATCTTTCAACTCACAATCATCAAGCACATCCTTTTGTTCTTTGTCAAACTCAACTGAAGTTAATTTAAGATTTTGTTCAAGTGGAGTAGAAACTGGTTTTGCTCCTCCCAAACCAGAATCAGCAATTAATTCCCAGGCATACTTCATCTGATTCAACAATACCCCTTCCTTTGATCTTTGGACCTCAAATCCAAGAATTTTTTTTTTAAAGCTCCCAAATCTTTCACTTTGAAACTTGAATTCATAATAGTTTTTAATTCTGTAATCAAACTGCCACTATTACTTGTGATCAACAGGTCATCAACATAGATCAGCATTACTACAATCTGCTCCCCTTTTCTCTTTGTAAACATTGAATAATCTGATTTGCTTTGCAGATATCCAGCAGCTAGAAGAGCTTCATGTTCCATTGTCTAGAAGCCTGCTTAAGACCATATATGGATTTGTGCAGTCTGCATACATAATTCTCTCCCAGACTGCAAAATCCAGGAGGCAACTGCATGTACACTTCTTCATTCAAATCACCTTGAAGAAATGCATTGTAGACATCCATTTGGTAGTGTGGCCAATTAAGAGTGACTGCCACTGCTAAAAGGGTTCTGACAGTTACTAACTTTGACATAGGAGAGAAGGTTTCAGTGAAGTCAACTCCTTTTTTGGTTATAACCCTTGGCTATCAGGCGTGCTTTGTAACGTTCAACAGCACCAGAAGCCTGGTACTTGATTTGAATGACCCATTCTCAACCAATGGGAACATTATTGGATGGAAGAGGAACAACAGACCATGTGTGGTTGATTTCCAAAGCTTGAAGCTCCTCTTTCATTGCTTGCATCCAAAGGGGGTTCTTTTTAGCCTCAGAGAAACTTTTAGGTTCAACAAGGGTAGAAATAGAAGAAAGAAAAGACTAGAGTAACATTAGGTAAATGTGAATAGAAAATATTCTGAGAAATTGGGTACTGACTTGGAGGAAGAGAGGATTGGCAAACTGATACAGACTCATGTAACCAATGTGGAGGTCTAGTAACCCTTGTGGACATTCTAGGTTGTAAAACAGTGGGTAAAACTGGTTCAGAAGATACAGGTTCAGGCTCATTTGTAGGTGCAGGAGATGAATGAGAAGATTGATTTTGAACTGGTGACATTTTCAGGTGAAACAAAAAAGTAATTAAAATTGGGAAAGACGACAAATCAATATGCGTGATAGAAACTCTTTTACCATTCGGAAGTGAACCAAAACTACTATCGGATTCATAGGAAACAGGATTAATCAAGATATGGAAATAAAAACACGTGATCAGTAGCTCCAGTATCCAAAATCCAAGCAGACTTAGTGCAAACAGAAGCACAAGATGAAGCTGTACCTGCCATGTTTGTCGTTGAATTAGTAGAGGAAGTGGCCTTGTGAAGGAGTTTAAGAATCTGTTGATACTGAGGCTGTGTAAAAACAGGAGCAACAAAAGCATGAGAAGAAGAATCAACAGGAGTAACGTTCTGATCAGAATCAGAGACTAAAGCTGCTTGGGTCTCCTTGGTGAACTTAAAGTCAGCCGGGAAGCCTATGAGACGTTAGCATTGCTCCTTTTTGTGACCTTTGATCTTGTAGTGGTTACAAACACCGGTGAAACGACGACGAGAATTCGAAGCAAACATAGCCACTGGCTCAGTAATAGGAGAAACGCTACTAAGATGAATTCTCTGAGCTTCTTCTTGAAGAATCATGGAGTAAGCCGTGTTGATCGATGGAAGAGGTTGCATGATCAATATATGGCTCCTGATAGCAGAGAATGTCTCATTTAACCCCATCAGGAACTGGAACAGACGTTGTTGGTGATGATGATTGAGATTAGCCTGAGAAATAGGACAGCCACAGATAGCAAACGGGACTAGGGCTTCGAATTCATCCCACATAAGCTTCAATTTGGTAAAGTAGGTAGAAACAGATCAATCCCCCTTAACAGTAGTGGCAATCTCTCGGTGCAAGAAAAAAACACTAGAAACATCCACTTTATCATAACGCTCACAGAGATCCGTCTAAACGGCGGCAGCACTTGAAGCGAAAACAATCCTCGCTGAAAGATCCTTCGAGACTGAATTGATAATCCACGAGAGAACAATCGCGTTACAGCGTTCTCAGTAAGAATGAAGAGATTCATCGAAATCATCACGTCTGCAACCACCGTCGATGAAACCGGCTTTATTCTTTACGAGAAGAGCCAAACGCATCGATCTGCTCCAAAGACTGTAGGTCTCGATCCCAGTTAATTGATGAGAAACAAGAATCGAGCCCGGAGTGTCATAGGGATGAAGATAAAGTTGATTGAAATCGATGACAGGATTGTCAATCGGAGGCATGATGAACGGAGAACGATGAAGAAATATTGATTCTGAGAATACTGAGGAAAAAACGACGAAGCAAAACACGGCCCAAGAAGAAAGAAAGCAATCAAAGGCCCAATGGATCAAAAAGACAGCGACTGGTACCATGTTAAGAAGTTAAGAGTGAAAAAATACCTCGGAAATATTGTATTTCACATGAAAATAATTGCAAGAGTTACTTACAAATATATAGCTACAGAGAACTAGAAATAACTACTCCTAACTGATTGTCTAACAAACTAACTGACTGTAACTATATTTACAATACAACCATAACACTCAACAGTTATGGTATATCTTTGTCATGTTTGAGCCGTTCTGACTATTGTTGAGGTCCTTTATCGTTTGAACATGCAAAGAAATCGTACACAATATTATCCCAATGGTACCTATAAATAATTTCCTTGATCCCCGGAAAAGGAATTGACCAAAGTGACCTCTTGGGAAGACGATGAAGATATACATATTATTTTTTGCTGAAAATTTCCAAACAACACGCTATTCTTAGTGAAAGGTCAATCATTGTACTTTTGCTTCAGCTGGTTAATAAATTAAGAACAAAGAAATCACCACTACGGAAAAGGGGTGTCATGTCATTTATATATTATATTTTTCAAGTTTTCCTTTTTATGGAAAATTCTACATTGTTGTATTATTAATATATAATTAAAAAAATATTATCGATTTTGTTGTTATTTAAATAATAAAATTAGTAAAAATTTATCTAAAATATTATTATTTTTAATTAAAACATCAATATTTTTTAATATTTCTGGTAAAATGTCTAACAATAACAAAACTGATAAAAAATAACAAAAAAATTAAAAAAAAATAACAAAATCAATAAAAAAATAATATTTTTTAATTTTTTAATAATTTTATTATTTAAATAATAATAAAATCAATAACATTTTTTTAATAGTATATAAAACTCGTGATCATTTTCCTCTTTTTTATATAACCTACAAAAGGCGATATATAGATGTAAGGATAGGGGTATTGGGTATGTTTATTGCGTGAGCAACATTATCCTTAACAACCCAAGCAGACAGGATGGGTCCACATGATTGGACTGAATGGGGCCCAAAAGGTGTTAAGGAAGCAGTGGCATTATTTATTTGCTAAAGCGATGATCATGCCGAAAAGGACATAGGAACCCTCCACCCATAGTCATAGGCCATGACAAGAAAAATAATTGAAAAAAGAGGAGGGGGACAAAGTGATTGAATGTTAATCCCATCACCTAAAGTTGACAAAAGAAAACTATTATACAAAATAACCCATTTTGACTTTTGCTACATATACCATTGATTGCACTTCGCATCTATAAGAGATGAAGGTAGGGGTGATTTTACCCCACTGACACCGTTTGTTTTTATTTTTACTTTTCTAACACCGTTCGACCAATATTTCCAAAACTAGCACCCTTTCTGCTGAGTTGGCAAAGGCGCGTCCCCGGGGGCGCGCTTTACCCGGTTTTTCGCTGAGTTGGATGCCACGTGTGAAAGGCGCGTCCCCGGGGACGCGCCTTTGCCAACTCAGCAGACACGTATTTTGTTTTATAATAAATAGTTTATTTTTATTATTATTATAAATTAATAATATATTATGTAAAATGTTTCGATTATATTATGTAAAATGTTT